TATTGGCAAACGTACGGTTTGGCGAACCTATTTGTTTATCCCCATCACAATTTTGCTGATCATACCGACAATGTCTATTTGAACACCGCCATTTAACCTGTAGACAATTGTGAGCACCTGAAACACCCCCGTTTCCATTGTTATGCACAAAGCGTTCTTTATTGTTACCAAGTAAGGCCAGCGGTCTTGTGTCTTAAATATTTTAGTTGAGCCTACAATGAAAAAACTCGAAGCGTCCGGCGGGATTCGGACCCGCATAGTAGAGAAGACCTTTACGCGAAGCCAATACTTTAACCACTTGATCTAAAAATGCCCCACCTTGCGCCAAACCTCCTAAATAAATAAGTCAGCCTAGTAGTCATTCTGGTAGATTCTAGATGATTGCTTAGGAAATTCTGCTTGGGCACTCAGCTTGCTATTCCGTATTTGTGCATTATATATGGGCGGTAAAATTGGGGGAATAAAATCGACCCAAGCCTGATTAAATTCATTCCCTTGTCTTATAATATCTGCTCAATGCAGGCACATGCATAATCATTTGATTTAACTGCAAAAAGTCCCATCACCATATGACAACTTTGACTTTTGCATGAACACCAAATTGACTTTTTGCGAATTCCGAATAAAGCCAACACTCTCCTTGAAATAAGACTCGAATTGTGCAAAACACATTAGAGCGATTTAACTTTTACTGAAATTTAACATTGAACTTATTTTTTATAAAGAAGTTAGAACGATTAAGTTAAAAAACGTGATTTTTTGGCAGCAAAAACTTACTTTTATTAGATAGTTGGGCGGACGGGGAAACTTTCATAGTGTTTTTGTTGTTTAAATTTAGCCAAATCAGTACGGAGTAGAGACGTATCTGCGTATAACGCGTACATTTTTTTCTATTTGACCACGATTCTAAAGCTTTTAGGTCGTTTTCTTGGACTTACTGTTTTAGAAGAAGAAGAAGAAGCGATCACTGGAACAAAAGTTTTATTGTCCTGACGTTCCAGATTCCGTCGGAAATCCGCCTGACGGAATCCGAAACGTTAGGACAATAAACCTCTTGTTCCAGTGATCGCTTCTTTTTCTGAGCTGTTTCATGGAACTCGGATATTCCCCTCTATTAACTTACCGTTTTCTTCGACGATTAATTTCTTGTCAGTGTGCGCATACAAGTTATTCCAACATGAAACGATTATGGCTACACAGGTCAGGGAAGTCACGATATGCTTTTCGTTACTGTCTTTTTTGGATCTTAAAGCATTCAAGGTAAACACTGATCTTCTAAACACTTCCTGTGATTTATTTGACTCAACCAGGACTTGAAACTACTTGACAATTAGACAGGTAAAATGATTGCTAAAAGCAACAATTTGCACGCCATATTGTCCTCTTTCAATGATGTAAATCACCAGGTGTGATGATCCTAAATGCTTAAAATCATTTTGGAGTACTTATAGCGCAGTGGAATTCACAATTGGGCATACCGTTTTATGGACATACCTATTCCCGTACAATTCGCATTACCCCATCTGAAGATGTTTTCAGTTCGGCACTGAAATCAATGCTTCATTACAACCAGAAACGTTCATACGTTATCGACTATTCTAGACCACGTCTGATTATTCATAGCTACTTTTGTACTCTGGGGCATCGAACTTATTAAATCACCTATCATTGTTGTGAAATGATGTTTTGCAAAACTGCAAAATAAGCTAAAGAATCACTAAGATTAACTCTCTTTTCGTAAAAGCACAAATAGTCATGTTTTTTTAAATTCTTTGCAATCATATGCATAAACCGAAAGTTAAAACCTCTTCGGACAATTCGTTGTTTTGAAAGTACGCATATCTCCGATGGACATGAAAACTTTACGTATATATCTACGAGAAGAACAACCTATAAATGTTTTTTTCCAATTTGGAGGCGCATATTACATGGCGTATAATGTACAAAACTAATATCCAAAAATCATTACGCAAGCGAATACTGTACTAAGCATTACTCATACAACGAGAGTTCATCTTCTGCTCAACGGAATAAATTTGTAGGTTTTCTGGCGTTTCGGACAGCTGCGTTGGCTGTCCTTTGTCGAAGCTAATACTGGCCTACGAAATTATTCCGGTGCACAGAAGATGAACTCTTATTCTTATCCCGGAATTCCGACCTTTTCAAATTTGAACTCATACAGCTCCCTAGACTGAAAAAAGGCCAACGTAACAAATGATTAATATGCCCGTGGCCTAACCCTATCACTAGCCCTTACATAAATGTTAATCATATGCCTACCCTTAACTCTAAGCCTATTTTTAAACCCTCAGTAAACCTTGACCTCTCCCTTAACTCTAGACTGAATAATACTGTGTGATAACATTAAATTTAACCTGAAACCGAACCATAAACATTTCTCAACCTTAACCATATAGGTAACTCTTTTGCGGTTGGAGTTTCCTGAAAGGATTCTTGGATTTCGGGCGGCTTCTTCTCTTGTGTCTTGGGATGGAGGCATATAAGTTAATACCACTGACATTTGCATTAACATTTTTATTTTTCAAGCTTGCTTAAGAATTAACCAGAGAATCTATCATTTTGAGCAATCCATTTAAAAATATTGAAGACACCAACGTAGTTATTGGGATTTGAACGACTCCTTAAGATCCATCAGACATAAAATTCCCAGGATAGACTCGAAATCTGCTTGGGATTGAAACTAATTAAAGACTTTCTACATAATAATGTCCCTTATAGCATTTTAAATGAAAACGGCTGTTGGCCTCCTTAACTGCAGTATACAAACTCCTAAAATCCTCTCAACCTCTGCCATACCGTTTCAAAAAATACTTATATTACTAGCATCTAAACAACCATTCAACGGTAGACTGTATTAGTCTCTACTCCAAAAAGCAGACTGCTTAATTTTATGTTATTTATGTTTTGTTCATTACAATCCTTACATAAATAAGCATTATATACTTTTACGAATAAAGGTACCCGGTAGAAAATCATTTATTTTTGGACCTTTCAACTTCCTTCGAAAGACTTTGTATTCCTGAGCAGTTTTTAAAATTTTGGAAAAGTGCGTGTGCTTATTCAAAAATATGGACGTTTTGGCCGATATAATGGAAGGGATATGCGATCGTTTACGTATATTCGAGAATTTACGCTCAATTATTCCTATAGGCCATACAAATATATTTGGTTTTCTTCATCCTTGAGGGGCACTTAATAGGGAAACTGTTTATGCTATATATCCTTTTGTTAGGACAAACAAAATTACCGGCTACCCAAGTCCTCCCAATAGATTTTTGGACAAAATAATTGGTATCTTGTAGTTGACCAGCAGTGGTGCTACATATTACTTCAAATCAAAGCGATCTTTTTATCCAAATAAAGGTTTAGAAGAAATCTTGAACTTTGTTGTACCTTTGCTATTCTCTTTAGTCCGTTATTTGCATAATGTCACAAAATATCCCCAAATTCAGCAAAATAACGTGACATGATTGATTTATCTCATTCACCTCATTTATCTCATTCATTTTGCCTCTTAAATGGACTTATTTTCCTTGCAGTCTAAATTTGCCTTCAATCGTTTTTACTGCTTCCATTGGAAGTAAGTTATTAAGCTCTTAGTTTGCGTTTTGTCTGTTACGCGTTTGCAAGCTTCCGAGACATAATGGTTTTGGTATTTGCTTGGGAATATTGGAAGATAAAAATAAATGGTTACCAGAATACCCGATTCTCATCTCTCTCCGTTGCTCTGTACTACTGAAAAACGTACTCTGATGTAATGTAATACATCAGAGAAACCCTCAGGTTTCCTTCTCAAACTTTTAGTTGGCCTTCTGCAATTCTATTTTGCATACAGGCCATACAGTGCAGGTATTTCCTTGTTTTGCAAGCGATTTCTCAGAAGTTCGTATGTTTTTACCAATTTTTTTGCAACTAATTTGGCAAAATATGTTTAAAAAGCTTTTGTTCCGAGTTGGATGGACCTTCCAGCATTTATTGTTAACAAATAAGTATAAAATTTCCTTTTTTGATTTAGGCAATGTGTAATTAGGCCACACTATATCGAAATGGGTTCTTGTGAATGGATATTCGATTTGCTGATGGCACAGCGACAAGTGATATTTTTAACCCCTAAATAAACCTTAAAGAGTACTGATATTGCGAGGTACCAAACCGTCAGTTTTCATTCACAAAAGAAAATAACAATCAATTTTTTAATGATGTATAGATAAAAAATATTACAATGTTTTGACCTCCGGGATCGATGTTTCTTTTGAAGCAGACTAGATTGACAACATGTCCTTAGCCCAATCGGAATACTTGTACAGTTGTGTCGCCGTAGGTTACTCTCATGAATGATCCAGGCGTATACGTAACAAAGCTGTAATATAAAAATTCGAAACATTTAAAATTGTGGAAACCATATATTTTAATCAGGTAGGCGTTATTAATCTATCTGAAAGACGGTGATGCTCTTCTGCTTAGAAAGAACTGTCTGCTAATCTCACTTGATAAAGAGCAAAGTTATAATTTGACGTTATCATAATTTTCAGATTGGACAGATACGCAAAAGCAGCTGCTAAATACGCATAAATATCTACAAAATTTTTTTCAATAACATTTAAAAAGTTGATATTAAGAACTTTTTGAATAAAAAACAAGACTTTTCAGCAACTGAATCAAAGCGCTAAATTATATTACTGAGGGCTAATGCTCAGTTTGTAAGAAATATGGACTATAGTTAAGATTGTTTGTAAAATACTTGTTAGAATAATGTACACAATACCTGAGACCTACCAGGCAAAATCCTTCCCAACGATGCAATGCCAGTACTTTGATCCCATTTCGTTGTCCAGACCGTCCTTAATGGCCTGTGCCAGTGATGCGTCTCCTCCTGCAGTCATATTCTGGAGGTTGGATTGAATAATGCGCTTTATGTTTTCCCGATCTGCCGTTTTAACATCAGTCTTTTCGACTATTAAGATGTTGGGCATTGGATCCTGATCATCACCAAAGTAAGTACGAGTCCCATTCATTGCGTTTGTCATCGCGGGTGATCTGGACTGCCAAGTGTCTGCAACTTATCTACCGATTTTAACACCATAAACAAGATTGCCAATCGGAAAGAGTCTGCCAATCACAAGACCAAATGGGGGGTAGAGACGTGGGTGTTGCAGTCTATCTGCACTCCTTGACGGTGTGTGATTAAGTGCTTGCCGAAAAAAAACTCAACAGGCTGATTATTCGAAGTTGATCCGTGTGCAACTGTGTACTGCATTTTACATTGAACAGGGGAAAGTACAAGCTCCCAAGATATGCTTAGTGTATGCTTAAGTGTGTGCAGTGGCAACGATGCATGATCATAAAAAAAGGTAATGTTGCACAACAGAGCCTCAAGCCACATTAGTTTTGACGTCAAACATGTGAGACCAGCCTTTGTGCAATCAAAAGCAGAGAAAAAAAGGTTAGAAAATGGACCCTGTCTTTCCTATAAAAAACCTCCTTATTAGGCTTAACATATATTTGATCTACTGTTCATTTTTTTCAACAAAAGAGAGTACGCCAACGGATACGCTTCTCGTTAACAGAATGGACTGGTTTTCTTTTCCTAAAGCATTCAAAGCCTTTAAAATGTGTGTGACATGTAATAGGTCACTTGACTTGAAATCAACTATTTTTAAGATCGTTTTAAAGCAAACATCCTGTTCAAATTAACCAAAAAAACTAAAGTAAACTAATATAGATATTGGTTGGCTTTTGCAAAGCAAGCCAGGAAATCTACTCAAGTGTGAATTTGAGATTGAGCTTAAACACAGTAGTGATAAAGGTTTTCAAATTTATTTGATTTTGTTAAATGGGAAACCTTTAAAAGAGGTAGTTTGTTTCTTTCACTTCCCCTGTCAGCAAAAGTAAGTAAGCTCCATACCTCAATTAAAATGTTGACTAATCTTTTAGTCCATGTGTCATTAACAACCAATTCACAATACATATGTCTCATCGAATTCACGGCTACATGTTTACCATTTACCTCCCACTTAACCTGAAAATGGCCGAGTTTGACTTGTTATTTCCTCCGACACATCTATGCTGCGATTGAGATTTTTTCTGAGTTCTCATTTTACTCGCTACTTACAAAAAAATATTTATAAGAACCGCCATGTCGAAAATAAAACTTTTTCTAGAGGATTTTGTTCTGGCTACGAAAATTCCATTGTCATCAAAGCGGCTATAGGATATGTCCAAATCGACAAAAGTATGAGGCACTTTAAATTTGGCAGTCGCTTGCGCCGATCTGTACCTATGACAGGCCACTACAGGCACGCAGACTGGTTTAAGTTCCGGGAACAACGTACTAATCTGACCCAATCTAATCGGTCGGAAGCGTCTTCTCCAGTGCTGAAGATTATTTATGCTGGGTACCAAATCCAGAGGCCGGGAGTCAAACGTCATCTAGAAAAACGGATTTTCTTGCTGTGGGAGATTTTGTTTTTGAAAAAAACATTTGATTATTAAACTTTTGACAAGAGTAGCTTAAGCAGTACACACCATATACCATTAGTCCCAGAATCTTGCCTTACAAAACTGGTGGTTATAGGGGTTTATGAGTAGGGAATTAGGATAGGCAGTGGAATATACTACTGATACATGCATTAAAATTTTATCGTCTTTATAATAGTTGTTGATTTATAGCTGTGGATTTTCTCAATGTGTATTATCGCTTAACGCCTAGCGGGAAATTCCGATAATCAAAATGCAGGTTACTCGGAATTCCTCATAATTTGGAAATGGCTGTTAGGAGATCGTCTACCTGACATTACCCGAGATCCAATTTGCCGTTCTTGGGTTTAGATTAGTATAGTCCGCGCACACCTTTAATTTACATGCAAAATGACTTACTTCCTGCAGCCACGGGGAACAAATTCAACTAAGTAGAAAGCGAAAACAGTAGAATTTATTGGATTCATAACATCTCGGAAGATTTCATCACCTGCATCTACTCCAATGCATTAAAGAGTAGCAAACGAAAACCCTACAAAAGTAAATTGGTACAGAAGTGCCAAATGTCATAAGCCCTTTCTGACCATGCCTTATGACCTTTTGACCT